ACATGCTAATTTTTAGTCTATTTGACATATTAATTTATTTATGTATAAGGTTTTTCATTTTCACATTTAAGAAGGAAGATGTCAATTACTTTTATTTTTTGTTTTATCCTTTTTGGTCTTTTGAGAGTTAAAGGTTTTTGTTATTATTGGAATTCAAATTAATAGGAAAACCTTTACCATGTTGGGATGTTGTGATAAATGTTCTTAGCTGGCACTTAGCTTGGTGCTATGAGTTACATTTATACCACTAATATTTACTAATGAAGTAATGATCCCATCCCATCTTTACATAATGTAAAGTTATATTTTTACTCTCTCTTTTTTTTATAATGTATTTAAATTGATATATATATACTATATAGCTAAATGTCCTATAAAACAAATAACTCAAATATATATATAAGATTAAAAAAAAAATCTCTAACCCAATTAGCTAAAAAAATTAAGATGAATTATCTCTCTCCTAAAGTCTTCTAAATTTTGGTTTTGACTAATTATGTAGAAAACCAACCCACTTCTTAATTAATACTAAGTTAAGAAAAAAAAAAGTGAAAACAAGTTGTATACAGCTAGTCTATATGAAAGATTATTGAAGAAGATGATAGCAATATCCATTAGGAATGCCAGTATGCAACTTTGTTTGTTGATTGAGAAGGTCATCAAGTAGCAAACTGATTGAGATTTTCATGCTTGGTACATGATCAAAATAGAGCCAGGGACCTCCAATTTTCAAAACTTGTCCCTTTTTCTTATGTTGACATCATAGAGAAACCGGAAATTTTTGAGAAAGCACATGGTAGGACTAGTGACGAAGGGGAGATGTCCACACATGGAATGAGTGGAAAGTGGAAACACAACTCACAAGTCATGAACAGTATGCGGTGTGACGCACACATTTTGGACTTTGAGTTTGTGCCCCCGAAATTCAATCATAATGCTTGCTCTCACAATTTACTTTGATGTCAACAGAAAACAGATCGTGTATTCTGGGTATTCTTGTATCCCAACTGACAAACATTGTGGGGTGTTAATCAAACAAACGACTCTGCTAAAAGCAACCATCACCCCCTGTTTTAGCCATTAATATTGAACTGATTTCATATGGTAGAGAAAATGTAGAAGGGTTTGTCTAGATTAAGAAAGTATTAATTATATTTTTTAATTAATTTATATAAAAAAATAAAAGTTTACTTTAAATTTATCAACTATCCAATTAAAATCGTTCAAGTGACATTGGTGTTAAAAAAAATCTTATTTTTACAATTTTTAATAAAAATTTATTACAAAATAATACATTTAATGCACTTTAACTTGTTGGGTACAAATTAAATAAATCTAATGTATAAATAAGAGGCAAAACACCTAAATTTACCCTTTAAATAAAAGAATAGGGATAAATTTACGAAAAAAATATAGAGATAAATTGTCTTTTTCAAATTATTGATTAAGACAAATTACTTATTATTTAACATGTAATGTTATCACACATAAACTTTTTGTTAAAAAATACTTAGGTGGCAAACAGATTTCTAACATGT